TACAAGACCAACATGAGAAAAATATGCACTTTCAACCAGTTAAATTAGAAGGGCAGGTGCTTACCATTGACCTAACCCTAGAGCCGATTTCATTTCGGAACTCATCAGAGTTATACATGACCTTGTCTGCTAGGATAGGGAATGTGCAATCGGGGGAATCAAATGATTAAAAAATTTAAGATTCTAAATATTAAAAATATTATAATTAAATTTGAAGATAAATAACTACAATTAATAAAATAGAAAACTTTTCCATTATCTATCATATGATATGCCAAAAAGAAAAACTATAGGGGATGTAGAAAGTTCCCTCTAAAACTCACAAATCAAGAGAAAGGGAGCAACTTTTTCTGTGGGTATAAACACCAGTTTTTCATTTTCATCTAATTTATCAGTCCAATTGGAAAATACTCAAATAGCCGAAATCACATTAGGGTTTGACACTTACAACACGGTGACAGCAGCAGGTGATTAGCCTATTTTTTTAAATGAAGTAAGGAGTTACGTAAATATGACAAGTGTCGGGGTGAGTTTGTAGTGGGGAAGTTTTCCCAGACAAGACCACAATTGTCTCCTTCCACTCTCTCCCCCTTTTTTCAAACCCACTCCACCTAAATGTAACGCTCACCACAAGCAAATCCCAACTGTCTTGCCATCTTAGTTCCGTTTCTCACTTCAGCTCTCAGCCCTCAATTCGTTTTTTAACTTTTTCCAGTGCCAAAACACAAGACATCATTTTCAAGTTCTATGCAACTCCACTAAACTGTCATGCTATGATTCTCTAACACAAGTTTTGTTTTTGAAGTTCTACCTCCTCCTTAGAAAGTACATCTCGTACTACTCTTGGAGGCGGAGAAGACCCAGTTGAAGTTTGAGCAAGGATGTTTGATATCTTCTTCGGGTGGAGGAAAGCTTCCAGATGGTACTAGAAGTTGAGGGTTAAAGGATGATCTTTGTTGGGTATGTGATTATGTCTGCTCTAACAAATTCTACTTATGTTGTTGTGTTGTAGTAAGAAGCTGATCAAGCAGGTTCAGTGCCGCCTGAAGCTGCTGAAGAACAAGAAGTATACGATCGTGAAACAGTTGCGGGAGGACATGGCTGAGCTCATCAAACTTGGCCATGAAGAGAGCGCCTTCAATCGGGTAAAGCAATCAAATTAGAAAACACTTCTACTCTGTATCTCCCCTGTTATTTCCCCTGTTTCTTTTTTGATCTTGCTTTCTTTGTGAATTTTTCTAAATATTCTTCAATAGGGTAATATGCTAATGTTCGAGTCAGCTTTATTTTCTGGAATGATTCCAAACTTCTTCAGAAATCTATGAATTCGGGGTAGTTTAGTGAACAATTAGATATGGTATTGAATTTTGTCTGGAAGTGGTGTCTCAACAGATAAGATCTTGAAACTCCAAGTTAGATGTCTTGGGTTGTAATCTTGAGACTGCGGAAATGGATTTGGGAAAGTGGATGGCTATCTCGTGTTGTATATCTTGTAATCAGATATAACAGAAAAAGAAAGACATGCAACTGAATTTGATTGAAAACTTTCTGCTTGTTGAAAAATATTGTTATACCATTACGGTAAAGTGAAGAGTCTGTGTGAATTATATAGATTACTTAACCATATATCAAAATGTTATATTTCTGATTCGATTTCCATACATTATTTTTCTTGATTATCAGGTTGAGCAACTCTTCAAAGATGAGAACACAATATCAGTCTACGATATGTTGGATCGTTACTGTGAATTTCTCACCATTAATCTCTCATATATCCGCAGAAACAAGTATGCATTATGTTTGCATGATGACAAATATACCGCATTAGCTAACTCCAAACGGTTTGCAATTTTCTTCTTTATTTTTTTTAAAAATTTTTTCTTTGAACTGATTTATGTTTTAATTATCCCATTTTAGGGACTGCCCCAATGACATAAATGAAGCAGTTTCAACTCTTATATTTGCCTCTGCAAGATGTGGAGATCTTCCTGAACTTCCTTCAATCCGGAAGCTCTTTGGGGAGCGATATGGCCAGGGATTTGCAACTGGTGCTATTGAATCATATCCTGGGAATTTGGTGAACCGGGAGGTTGTCAAATGTCGTATTATGTTTACTATAGTTTTCTGTTTCCTGAAACATGGTTTCATCTTTGACTTAACTGAATCAATTTTGTACAAACTTTTAAAAACAGGTTAAGGAGAAGCTCTCCATAAAAACAGTCCCAGATGATGCAAAAGACAGATTGGTTGATGAGATTATCAGACAGCACTGCCTAAGGCCGGAGCTTTTGGCAATTGAATACCCTTTAGAACCGCAACAACAGGTGATTTAATTGCTTTTTCCATCAATGATTTGTGACAAATTTTTTCATGTTACTTTGTCAGCTTTGGTGATAGTCCTTAGAACCATGGAATTGCAGGACAAGGAAATTATCATTGAAGAATCTCCAGTGCAGAATTCAGATATCATTGAGACAGAAGAAGAATCCATGGATGTTGTGCTAACTTCGATGACAAAGAGTCATTTATCTGAGCCATTTCAGTCTCAATCTCTCCAAAGTTCAGATGCAATTAGGGCTTCTGTGACTGGTTCTATAGTTCAGCAATCCTCATCAGATGTAACGGAGTCATTGGTATTGAACAAAGAAGAGAAGGGAGAGAATTTTAAAGAAGATTCTGGATTTGAGTCTGAAGTTGGTAGTGCTGTTGACACAGAAAGCCGAGGCAATGATAGGAATAATGCGACATCCATTTTGAAACACAAGGATAAAAGACTGAAAGCTGTTTCTTCTTCGGAAAGTTCAAAACAATTTTTTGGGGAAAAAGTTGTTTATCATGATGATACAGAGGAAATTCAGTCATCTGTGACAAAAGAAGGAGGCAGCCAGGATCAGAGACTATTCAAGTTCAAGTCACCTATCCCACCTAAGACAGGAGGAATTATTTCTGAGTTTTCTGATGGGGGGAGTGGCATGGATCACCATGAAGAAGTGAGTGAGATTTCAGGCTCATCGAGCTCGAGGAAAAGTAACAATGCAGATAGGAAAAGATCAAGGAGGAGGTCAATCTCTCGAGAAAGTTCCACCATGCAGGATACTGATCATGAGATCTACTACGAGAAGCCTTCAAGTCACAAGCATAGATCACACAGGAGGAAACTTCAGAAGAATGCAACAGTAGAAGAACAATCAACTTATGGACAGAAGTTAATGAAGCAACATGGCTGCGCAGATAAATGCAAGTACAATGCAGTGAAACCATGTGTCTGCAGGTTGGAAGATCCTTATTATTTTTCTCCTGGTGACAAAAAGGATGAAGAGCAAGCTCCTCAACGGAAGCAAAATAGAGGGCTTAAAAATATGGGGCAGTTTCCTTTTCGTGGTTTTGAAGAAAATTTAAGTGACAGTTTCAGCCAATCTTCTCAGTATGGAGGATCCAGTAATGAAATGGAATGGACAAAAGTAGAACAGACTGTTCTTCCTAAGAATCTGAGAAGTAGAAGAAGCTATGCCAATGGAGAAACTGTATATGTTGTTTACACCTGGCCGCCTAATAAGCAAAGAGAGAAAACAGAAAAAAAGCAGTCACTCCCTTCTTACTTAAGAGCCATGACAATGCCTCAAGAAAGGCCTAAAAACAGTCAGAAGGACAGCATTTTACGGTCAATTTCATGCAATCTTCCACATCCAAATCATGTCCATCCTAAGCTACCGGATTGTGATGAAATAACAGCCAAATTCATGGCTCTCAAGAAGGATTACAAGCAGAATAAGCCGTGATCAGTGAAGAATTCAATTTTATTTCCCTTACCTGCATATAGGACTAATTCTTCAATCTTTTTTCTATTCTCTCGCCCAGAGAATTCTCTTTCATTCATTTTCAGCTGTAGTATGATACCGCCGCGTTAATTATTCGATCTTTGTGTAATACTAATACTAATAAGAAAAGAGTCATTTCTAGCTTTGATTCACAATTGCTTGGAATGTAGAAAATATTTATGAGAAAGAGCTGAGAATTCAAAACGTCCAACAAGTTCTGGGTACATGTTCAAGTTATGATTTGTGCATTTCTGTTCGCATTGCTGCACTTAAAAGATGTTTCACTAGGACAGTTGGTGTTCTGGTGTTTTGCAGTCCATACTCTAGAATACAGACCATCAAATTAAGGGGTCAACTTTGTATTCAATGCCTCATTTAATGGTGCTGAATTGCACAATACTTTTCTTCTTCTTCTTTTTTTTTTTTTTTTTTTTTTGTTATTATTAGAAATTGATACTAATTAAGTTTCTGCTTGAAAATTGCAGTTATATTCAGGACTTGTTAACTCTACTTAGAGGAGCATATGGGCATAACTATTTGTCATCAAAATTGTTTGTACCACTAATTAATCTTGTCCAAAATTAAGATTTTTAAATTAGTAATACTAATTTGGTTTAATTTTTGTTGATTTTGTGCTATGAGGCAAATTAAATCTTGATAATATATCTTCCTTTATCACCATGTAACTATATAAGTTATTAAATAACAAAATATTTTTTTAGTACAAAGTGCATAAGAAATGCACAGTTCATACTAAAAAACACTAACCTCATTTTGTAAATGTAAATGATTTGAACCATGGACTTATATTTTTTTGTTTTAGAAAAACAAATCCATTCATTAATAATATAAAATCATAAAGGTTACTGGCTATCTCTTATAGTATAACATATTAAAAGTATTATAATACTTAACCCTAAAAATATAAAATATTTGGTTAAGTAAATGATAATAGAGCAACTTAATGGTTACATGAATATGATATCTGAACTTGGATGTCAACATAATCTAATAGGACCAAAAGATAAGAAGATAATTGTTGAAATAAACCATTGCTTAATGGTTACAACCCATTAAGCATTTCAAGACAAAATAGGGCACATTCCATTAACCACATCTCCAGCTTTAAACTTTCAGTAAAGAAAGATATAAAATAATGTGAAACTCACACAAATTATGTTTGGAAACGATGAATTCTCACATAAGCCAGCTTTTGGGAGAGGTAAAAACCCTTGCAAAAAATCTAAAAAATAAAACAAAATCATAAAAAAGGAAAATGGAAATAAAGAGTCAAAAGAAAAAAGAAAGACAAATGGGAACAAGAGAGGGGAGCGCAACAGCTAGGTTCCGCTCTCCACTTCTTTGACTTATGTCTTTGAAATAATAATAAGAAAAGTGTAGTACAATTTAAATTGTATTAAATTATATTATATTTTTTTTATGAAAAGTTGTATTATATTAATTATTATATATAAATAAATTTTTTGATATTAGGGGTTTTAAGACTTATTTAATGATTTCTATTTTATAATTTAATATAATTTAAACTATAAATAGGACTCCCTAAATAATAAATCATCATGCCAAACCAAATTATTATTATTTTTCTTTTTTAATGTTCTTTCCGAAAAAAATTATGTTTGTTTATATACATAAGCAGATGGGGGTATGACCGCCACTAAAAATTATAAAATATTATTTTTAAAAATATTAATTATGTTTAATTTAATTAATAAAAGTAACTAATAATTACACTTATTAATTAATATAATTGATAGAGGAGTTGAGATTTATGGAGGAAGGCTTTTAGACTCAATGGCGAAATATTTAAATGTAAAAAGCTTTTTCATTTATAACAAGCGTTTGAACTTGTGTAATCCTTCTTTCTATCCTTATTGCTCATAAGTTGAATCATTTTTTTTTTTTTTTGTCTTATGAAAAAATTAATATTTATTAGTTAACAAATTAAAATCAATTAATAAATTAATATTTCAAAAATTATTTTAAAAAATTATAAAATTAGTGACTTTTAACACTTTTTGTGGTGGGAATAACCAAGCCCAAGCATATTCTCTCGTATATTCTTGGCATAGGACCTGTACCTTACAAGTTATTAATCGCAGGCCTATTCAACCAGCCCAACTCCAATAAACAAATAGGTATAAGGGCCTTGTTAGTTGTCACTGGCCCCCGCACGGGATATGCCTGCTCAGTTGGGGAATGAAGGTGAAATTTTATTTTTAAGGTTAAACCCCTAACTCGGTCCCTCAACTATTATGCAAACTTTCTAGTTGGTCCCTAACTTTCAACATTCCCATTTTAATCTCTAAAATTTGAAAATTTAACACCTTTTTGGTCTCTCCGTTAAAAATTCATTGATTTGGCACATTACTTGATGGGAGAAGAATGATATGTACAAGATTTTTTACATGTAGGATTGACAACATGACAAAAAGAATGACATGGAAAAACAAATTAAAAATTCCCTTCCACTGGCACCAAAACCATCATTGACTTAGGTACACTCATAACCTAATTCATCTCCAACCCATTTACATAGTGATCTAGGATGAGTTCAAGAAGCAAGTAAAAGGCCCATTTTCCTTTTTAGGGGCATTCAAAATTTGCTTTAGTTTGGAGTAGATTGGTCTAATTTAGGGTTTATTTTAATTGTATTGTTGAGATTAGAATTAAATTTACATTTTTATCTTCTTTGGCCAAAAACTTTTTCAGTATCTTTAATCTAGGTATAAACATCAAAACTCAAATTCAAATTTTGCTTGATTCATTTATGAGGATTGTTTTCATTCTCATTGTTTTTTTTTTTTTTTTTATTTTGTTTTTTACCGAACAAACTATAGGTGTTATACATAAGATAGTCATTTCTTTATATGATTGTTTTTAGATGAAACTATGAAGTCGGAGAAGATAACATAATCGAGATGAGCATAGGGTTTATGCAAACTTTAGATCCTTTCCTTTATTTGGGTTTATGTTTATATTACACTTGGATTTGATGTTAAAAGGTGTTAGGGTTTGTAGAAGGTGAAATAAAGGAAGAGGAAAGAGAAAAGGAAAGAGACGAAAGAGAGGAAAAATGAAAAAAGAAAAAGGAATTTTTTAAGGTTT